TTATATTAAATATACTATTTTTATATACTAAATAAGTAAGTATACTATTTTTTTAAATAAGTAAGTATCCTATTTTTTTATATAAATTAAATATATTATATTTTATTTATATTAAATATACTTTTTATATATACTAAATAAGTAAGTATACTATTTTTTCAAATAAGTAAGTATACTATTTTTTTATATAAATTAAATATATTATGTTTTATTTATATTAAATATACTATTTTTATATATTAAATAAGTAAGTATACTATTTTTTTATATAAATTAAATATATTATATTTTATTTATATTAAATATACTTTTTTTATATACTAAATAAGTAAGTATACTATTTTTTTAAATAAGTAAGTATACTATATTTTTTATATAAATTAAATATATTATGTTTTATTTATACTAAATATTTAAATTATATATAAACTAAATATATTGTTTTTTCTATAAACTAAATATACTAATATTATATAGATTAACTATATATTTGACATATTTTATATAAATTAAATATATCTTTTTTATATAAACTAAATATATATTGTTTTCCAAAATAACTAAGTAAAATATTTATTAATTAAATATACTGTATTTTTATATAAATTAAATATATTATGTTTTATTTAAACTAAATATTTACTAAATATACTAAGTATTTAAGTTACATATAAATTAAATATATTGTTTTTTCTATAAACTAAATATACTATTTTTTAAATTAATTAAATATTTATTATATTTTATATAAACTAAATATTCCATTTATAATCTAAATAAACTGTTTTTTATATAAATTAAATATATGTTTTTATATAAACTGTTTTTATGATATATAATATATAATATATAAACTATTTAATATAATTAAATATATATATACTGTTTTAATATAATAAATTATATATATAATATATTTTGGAATAAAAATTTAATATATATAAACTGTTTTAATAATCTATTTAATATAATAAAATATATAATATATAATATATTTTCGGAATAAAAAAATATATAACATATAAACTGTTTTAATATACTATTTAATATAATAAATATATTTTCTATATTATATTTTTGAAATAAAAAAAATAATATATAAACTGTTTTAATATATTTTTGGAATAAAAAAAAATATATTATATTTTCAGAATATTAACAATTAACTTTATATATATAAACTAAATCTATTATATATAATTATATCAACTAAATCTAATATATATCTAAACCAATTTAATTTACCTAAATATAACATATAATTCAGAAAAATTTCAATAAAAAAATAAAATAAATTACATACCTTAAAGCTTTATTAAACAAAGCTTGTTGATGGAGGAAAAAAAATGACGGAAAGGAGAAGGATGAGAGTTGCATATGATGAGAGTTGCAAAAAACTGGAATTTTGATGGTATGAAACGATATGAAACAAATGGAAGAGGAAGAGGAAAATATAGGCTGAAAAACGTATAAAATTTTGCTTGGGGATAACCCCTCGCTAAGTGTCAAACGGTTAAAATTTTGCCAGGGGGTAGCTCCTCACTACATGACACTAATTATTATTTTTTCTACCACACGCAAGCTGCTCAGAGATGGTGCAGGAGAGTTGTAGTGGTGTTAAAATTGGCTTGGGGATAGTCCCTCGCAAATAGTCTTATTTGTTGGCGAGGTGTTAGCCCCTCGCAAATGGCCAACGGCTATTTTAAATGGCGAGGTGTTAGCCCCTCGCTAAATGGTTTTTCTTTTAGCCACATGCTCACCCCTCGCAAATGGCCAACGGTTGTATTTTCAAATTCCCTCCAAAAATTTAGCTACGGGGAGCTCTAAATTTGAAAACAAAAATTGTATATTATTTAGCGAGGGGATAACCCCAAGCTAATGTGAAATTTAGCTAGGAGCTTAACCCCTAGCCATTTGCCCCAAGCTGATTCACCTTATTCTTGTAGTATATATATATATATATATATATATATATATATATATATATATATATATATATATATATATATATATATATATATATATATATATATATATATATATATATATATATATATATATATATATATATATATATATATATATATATATATATATATATATATATATATATATATATATATATATATATATATATATATATATATATATATATATATATATATATATTGATGTTAGTTAAGAGTTAATCAACATAAGATGCACATGTATAAGATACATAATTCAAGATGCTTGGTGATCCCTCAAGATCAAACTTAAAGATAGGAGGAAGTAGAAGAGAGTACCAACCCTAAAGTGTGATTTTGATGTATTGATGATATTAGATGATGAGAAATCTTAAAGACAAAAATTGAAGTATAACAACTGGATCCTTTGGAGCGCGATGTATTAACTATTTTTGGAAATATATATATAATCAATTAATTTCATAATTATAATTTAATAAAATAAAAAATTCAATATTAATATTATTAGTAATATATTTTTAAATATAATATATAATATAATTTATAATTAATATTATATTAATAAAATACTGAATAAGTAAGTATACTATTTTTTTTAAAAAAGTAAGTATACTATTTTTTTTATATAAATTAAATATATTATGTTTTATTTATATTAAATATACTTTTTTTATATACTAAATAAGTAAGTATATTATTTTTTTAAATAAGTAAGTATACTATTTTTTTTATATAAATTAAATATATTATGTTTTATTTATACTAAATATTTAAATTATATATAAACTAAATATATTGTTTTTTCTATAAACTAAATATACTAATATTATATAGACTAACTATATATTTAGCTTATATAAATTAAATATATCTTTTTTATATAAACTAAATATATATTGTTTTTCAAAATAACTAAGTAAACTATTTATAAACTAAATATACTGTATTTTTATATAAATTAAATATATTATGTTTTATTTAAACTAAATATTTACTAAATATACTAAATATTTAAGTTAGATATAAATTAAATATATACTATTTTTTCTATAAACTAAATATACTATTTTTCAGGTTAATTAAATATTTATTATATTTTATATAAACTAAATATACTATTTATAATTTAAATAAACTGTTTTTTATATAAATTAAATATATGTTTTTATATAAACTGTTTTTATGATATATAATATATAATATATAAACTATTTAATATGATTAAATATATAAACTGTTTTAATATAATAAAATATATAATATATAATATAATTTGGAATAAAAATTTAATATATATAAACTGTTTTAATAATCTATTTAAAATAATAAAATATATAATATATAATATATTTTCGGAATAAAATAATATATAATATATAAATTGTTTTAATATACTATTTAATTTAATAAATATATTTTATATAATATATTTTTGAAATAAAAATATATATATAAATTGTTTTAATATATTTTTGGAATAAAAAAAAAATATAATATATATTATATTTTCAGAATATTAACAATTAACTTTATATACATATATATATATATATATATATATATATATATATATATATATATATATATATATATATATATATATATATATATATATATATATATATATATATATATATATATATATATATATATATATATATATATATATATATATAAACTAAATCTAACATATATAATCATATCAACTAAATCTAATATATATCTAAACCAATTTAATTTACCTAAATATAACATATAATTCAGAAAAATTTCAATAAAAAAATAAAATAAATTACATACCTTGAAGCTTTATTAAACAAAGCTTGTTGATGGAGGAAAAAAATGAAGGAAAGGAGAATGATGAGAGTTGCAAAAAAATCTGGAATTTTGATGGTATGAAACAATATGAAACAAATGGAAGAGAAAGAGAAAGATATAGAGTGCAAAACGTATAAAATTTTGTTTGGGGTTAACCCCTCGCTAAGTGTCAAACGGTTAAAATTTTGTCAGAGGTAGCTCCTCACTACATGACACTAATTATTATTTTCTCTGCCACACACAAGCTGCTCAGAGATGGTGCAGGAGAGTAGCAGTGGTGTTAAAAATGGCTTGGGGATAGCCTCTCACAAATAATCTTATTTGTTGGCTTGAGGATAGCCCCTCGCAAATGGCCAACGGCTATTTTAATTGGCGAGGTGCTAGCCCCTAGCTAAATGATTTTTGTTTTACCCACGTGCTCACCCCTCGCAAATGGCCAACGAATGTATTTTCAAACTCCCTCCTAAAATTTAGCTACGGGAAGCTCCAAATTTGAAAAGTTTCTTTTGTATATTATTTAGCGAGGGATTAACCCCAAGCTAATGTTAAATTTAGCTAGGGGTTTAACCCCTAGCCATTTGCCCCAAGCTAAATCACATTATTTTTGTAGTGTTCGGTTGACCAAATACACACTAAATATTTTTTAACATAATAGTCAATTTCTATATTTTTTCTATTCTATCTGTAAAAAAATAATTAACATTTTCAATTACGTTATATTTTTAATTTAGTCAAAACTAATAACTATTTTTTTATATTACACTATATTGATTGATTTAAGGTGATATATATATATATATATATATATATATATATATATATATATATATATATATATATATATATATATATATATATATATATATATATATATATATATATATATATATATATATATATATATATATATATATATATATATATATATATATATATATATATATATATATATTTGAGCAACTCATTGATCACACAACAAAACAAAAATTTACTATCAAAGGAGTTTTCATTCTGTTAGTTCAGTTTCAATCTACTCACCTCTTGGTATAACTGGCGTCTTTATTAAGAAGACAGTTGTGAATAATGCATTTCAGTTTAAGTTTTTTTTTTTATATAATATTTTGATTCTAGTTTAAATTTTCAATTTACTCATTTTATTCATTTTTAATATTGTGGTTCTTGTTTTTCTTTTAGATTTTACATCAAGACACAATCATGAGTTTTGGTTTCTCGGCAATAACAGAAAAGAAAAATGTTTTGTTCATAATGGGTGCAACTGGAACTGGAAAAACAAAACTTTCTATTAACATAGGTATTCAATTTCCTTCGGAAATCATTAACTCGGACAAAATTCAAGTCTATAAGGGTCTTGACATTGTTACCAATAAAATACCAGAATCCGAGCAATGTTCGATTCCGCATCACATGTTAGGCATCATAGATGATCCTGATTATGATTTCACTGTGAATGATTTCTGCAAGAAAATGCTTGAAACCCTAGATGTCATTATTGAAAATGGACGTCTACCCATTATTGTAGGTGGTTCAAATTCTTACCTACAAGTTCTAGTAGATGACCCAATCTATGAGTTTCGTTTAAAATATAATTGTTGTTTCATTTGGGTGGATGTAGCTTTGTCTATTTTGTTTTCTTATTTAGACATGAGAGTTGATGAAATGGTTAAGGCTGGTCTTATTGATGAAATTAGAGACTTTTTTGTACCTGAAGCAAATTGCACAATGGGGATTAGAAGGGCAATTGGTGTTCCTGAGCTTCAACGTTATTTTGAGATAGAAAATGCTGAAGATATTGATGATGGTCATAAAGAAAAGATACTTAAAGAAGCTATTACAGAAATGAAAGAAAACACATGCAAATTGGCTGAAAATCAACTCTTAAAGATTGTTATGATGGATAATACGCTTGGGTGGAACATGCACAAAATTGATTCTACTAAGGTCTTTGAAGCTGTTTTAAAGGGAGAAGATTATCAACATTTGCATCAAGAAATTGTGATTGAGCCAAGCATTGAGATAGTGAAGAGATTTTTAGAGGAGAAAACTCATTAAAAGACAAAATCATTATTAGTATCCAATAAATAATCATTACATTCTAATACATTCCAATAAATTCAACAAAATACTCTTGTAAGAATGATATTATAGTATCTCTATGTGGTTTGTAGCCAATGATTTACACCTTACCGTTGTTTTACTCTACCATTGAGTGGAAATGTTTCATTTGATTAAATTTCAAATAATTATAAATGGTAATATAAAATTTGGTTGAAGAATAACACCAATATAAATATTATTCACAATGTATTTGAAGAAGGATTGTGAATAAATGGAGAAAGCTTTCCCAAACAATATTAAAGAAATCAAATTCAAAGTAAGTTTCCTTTTGTATTTTCAATTTTCAACTTATATAAATCATTGGTCAAGCATATAGTAGGTGATTTTTCTAGTATAAAACAGTTTCTTCAATTTTGAGATTTTTCCAACTCTTCATAAACTCTTTTTATTACTTATTTCTCTAAAAACAGTTTTTAGATTAGAGCCATAGCTAAAAATATGATAAAAAGTGGAACAGGATATGGAGGGTACTTCATGCTTGTCTTCCCACCAATTTTCTTAATTGTGACCATCTTAATTTATTTTCTCTGGTGATAAAAATATGATAAAAAGTTGTGGTTTTTTCTGGTGATTTTCTTTCTGTCAAAACATCCATATTAAAAGCATGATGAATTTTTTCACAGAATTTTGTTTTATCATAAACTTTAATGATAATTTTATGTTTCAAAATTTTCAATAAAATTTCACCTATCTCCATGTTAATTTTTTTTATAACGGTTAGCAGGAATGCACTATAAGAAAAAGGGTGTTTTACTAAACATAAGTTGCTACACTTCTATTAAAACTGCCCACCTCCATCGCTTCTTTATTTTTTTTAGATGAAGAAATTTTAAGATGGCTAGTTGTCTACTCACCCTAAAAAAATCGGTGAGGTTAGAACAACTATCGTTTTCCTTTGAACACTCACACCTTAATAATTTGTGACACACTATTGTAACAACTGGATTTTTAATTAAGAGTCGTCACTATTAGTTTTTATCCTATGGAAGAAAATCTAACAGAAAATCTTAATTCGCAGACAGAGATTCTAGGTTTCGGACTCAATTAGACGAAAGGAAGGTGTTAGGCACCTTTTATCTACCTTGTTCACAATGATATTAGATTTTAGAATTAAATTTGGGTAAAACGGGATTTAAATTTTAATCAGGAGGACTCGCCACGATTTTTGATCGTATGCCTACGTATCCTCTTATGAGGAATCAAAGTCTCAATTCGTAGTTCGTATGGGGTTGGTATTTTTTAGGGGTTGCAAACGTATTTTGAATCACCTCGCACTTGGCCGGGAATAGTGATTGTGGAGATTTTGACTAAATGCGTAGTAAGTCAAAACCAATTTGAACCCTTTTGAAAAAACAGTTGGTTAGTTTAGTTTGTTGCGAAAAAATAGTTTGATATTTGTTAGTGTTTTTTTATTGTGTTAAATTGCAAAGATCTTGATTAATGCATGATTAAAAAAGATTTAATGCAGATAATATATAAAATGATATATGAAATTTTGATATAAAATAAATTATTTGTTAGCATATAAATAATAATGTACACATATAATAATTAAAAATATAATAAATAATATGAATAATAGATATTATGAAAAATAATATTAATAATAATAATTGGAAAATTAACAATAATAATAATCATTAATTAATAGAAAAGAAAAAAAATTAGAATTATAAAAAATAATGATTAAACAGAAGGGGGTGTATTTTTATGGTATGTAGTAAAATAAGGGGGGTGTTAAAATTAGATTGGGTTAGGCCCAAATGTGTTGGCATGGACAGGGGGTGTGTTGTTTTGAAGCGTTAGTAACTGAAGCAACTGGGGGGTGCAAAAAACAATTGGTCCTGGCCCATTATAACTTTTAGAGAATCCGAATTGATCTAGTGTGGTAGAGTGTATGGTGCTTACCACGCAGACTTGGCCTCTGGCCGTCTGATGAGAATTACGTGGGCAAGATTGAAGGTGCATGATACTTGTGTTATATGCGCGTGTACTGGAATGAAACAGAATATAATTATGTTTTTTTTTTCATTTTTGTGTATAGTTCACTTTCAATGTCTTTCAGTAACTCTTATCCTCTTCTATCTCCCTCGCCTAACCCCTTTCTTCTTTTTCACAAACCCTAAAACCTAATCACCACAGCGGCGCTACGAACCCCTAATCAAACCCACCATAATACAAGAACAACAATAATAATGAACAAATTCTAAGACGTTTTACCCTCTCGCGATTTTCTGACGCCGAGTTTTCTGATTCGTTTCTGACCCTTCTTTTCTCTCTTTTGCAGGTTCTGTGAAGGTGGTGCGTGGACGGGGGTGAAGGCGACTCAGCGGTGGAGGCGATGGTGATGAAAGATCGGGGATAGTGTACGATTGCTAGCGGCGATTCACAGTTTGGGAGGCTCGCGGTTAGGGTTTCAGAAGTTGAAACCCCAACCGATCTCCTTCGTCTTCCTCCGTATGGTATACCAAATTCTTCTTCTCCTTCTTTCTTTTACTGTGTTTCTCTATCATCAGTCCTCCGTCTTCTTTTTGTCTTTTCCAGTCTTCACGATTCCCTGTTCAAGGCTTCTCTCCTCCTTTGTATTCTTTTTCGCCCCCTTCTCCAGTTTTCTGCTATTTGTATATATAAGGCTTAGTTTTAGGGTTTGTTAGAATTACATAAAAGTTAGGGATTTGGGTGTTACTGATTTGGTTATGTTTTTGTAATTGATTCTGCAAGATTGGATTTGATTTAGGGTTCTTCAACTTGTATTGTAATAGGGATTTTGGGCTTTTAATTGATTTTGTAAAAAGATTTTGTAATGTAAGGTTCATTGATTTGATTATGAAATTTCCAGATTTTGCTTAGATTTGATTGTTCTGATATTGCCTGATTGAATATTGTAATTGAAGATTTGATTTCAACAGCAATCTGTACAGTACGTGTTTTTTGGTAGGAAACGTACACCATTTTTTTGCCCTGATTGGAAGAGTTCCTGCTTTTGTTTCAATTGGGCCAAAGTTATTTAATTACTTTGGGCCCTGCGCGTTCCTTGTGTTATCCAGCTTACTTGACAATAAATTTTTTTATACCACAAACAACAATGTTTTTGTACAGACTGGGCCCAACCGGTCCATTATTATACCAATCTCTTCTTTCCAATTCCAACAGCATATTTAATAAAAATAACAGTAAATAAAACGTTGATTAACCTTTCTTAAAATGATCCAACAACTTCTCCTCTAGACAGCAATCTTTTAAAAAATATTAATGAAAACATTATTACGAAAGTTTATTAGTAATTAAAATACACTACAAATTCATATACTTTATTTATTCTTGTAAACAGTTTTAATACTAATACCCTCAACCCACCATCAAGATACCCAATGGACTACTAAAATCCTTAATGGTTCCTTAATCAAAACTCCACACCCCCTTTCTTTATGAACAATAACTTAAACTTAAGTGTACTTAATAATTTTATAGCTTCATAATTACTTCTGAAATAAATTTCCATATCCGAATCGCATGGGCCATTGGCCAACATGCTTCGTAAATGGGCCTACGGATACATGAGTCTCTCTGATTTAGATAGCCTCATTCTCCTGAATTTAAGGTACACCCCCTAGTCGGATAAAGACGGACTATCAGATATTGATATACCATCTTTAATTGAATATTTATTCTATTTTAATATCGAAAAATAAAATTATCGAGGTAGGACAAATTTGGAGTACGACAGTTGCCCCTATTCAATTATCTTCCAGTCGAATAGCGTGAGAAAACCCGAGTCTTGCGCATTCTGATTAAAAGTTTATTGAATACTTGAAGTATCCCAAAATTTGTCCGACAAACATAAAGTTACACTGATATAACATACCCTTACAAGTCTCAAGGAAGTAGGCAAAGTTGATGATGTATCGCTTACCAGGGTTTGATAACGAGGCAGATGATTTTAAGAGCGCAATTTCGTATGTCTTGGTTTGGTTTTTTTATTATTCATCCATTTGGAGGTTGAATACAAAAATGATTGATGATGCATGTCTTCTTAAAGACTGAGGCCATGGGTTAGATTTTGAGGAGTGAAGAAACACTTTGCTGTATGAAGTCTGAGGCAATGGGTTAAAGTTTTGTTTTCTTTCGAGCATCGTTGCATGAATTCTGAGGCGACAATCTGTGTCATGGAATAAAGAAACACATTGCTGCATGAAGACTGGGGCAATGGGTTAGGGTTTTATTTTCTTTCGAGCATAGCTGCATGAAGTCTGAGGCGATGATCTGTGTCATGGAGTAAAGAAACACATTGCTTCATGAAGACTGAGGCAATGAGCTAAATTTTGGTTTTCGAACATTGCTGCATGAAGTCTGAGGCGATGGTTTGGAGAAATTCATCACTTCCTGAAGTCTGAGGCAATGGGTTAGGTTTGCAAATCGCTACGTGAATTCTGAGGCGATAGGCTGGAGCGTGGAACACATTGCTGCATGAAGTCTAAGGCAATGGGTTAGGTTCTCAAATCGTTGTGAAGTCTGAGGCGATAAGCTAAGTTTGTTTTCGAACATCGCTGCATGAAGTCTGAGGCGATGGTTTAGGATTTGGAGAAAGAAACACATTATTGCATGAAGTCTGAGGTAATGGGTTAGGATTGCAAATCGCAGTGTAAAGTCTGAGGTAATAAGCTAGGTTTTATTTTTGAGCATCGCTGCATGAAGTCTGAAGCGGTAGGCTGGATTTTGAGAATACATTGCGGCTTAGAGGCAACATAGTGGGTTTTGCAAATACGTTGCGGCTTAGAGGCAACATAGTGAGTTTTGTGGATACATTGCGGCTTACACTATGCCAAACAAGGGATTAGACAACACTTTTTTAGGCCTTTAACAGCGCTTAAAAGCGCTGCTAAAACCTCCGCTGCTAAAGGTATAGACAACGCTTATGTAATTTCAAAAGCGCT